AAGAAGCTAAACGACAGGGCATCAAAGCGCAACTGGTTATGGATAAACTCTATATCAACGGCGAGCGATTCGTGGCGACAGATTTCGGTCAGGAAAACCCATATAACGCACCAGCGGCACCACACAACGTAGATCCGCGCCTAACTCCAATGGCCCGTGAATTTCGACCATTCAACAGACGCGGCTCAGTAAGTCAAAGGTAGGATAACCTAGGAGGAAATCTACCACGTGACAATTTAGTGGACAGTGATCCAACCGACTCTCTCGATTCATCCACTGGAACTGATTGCAAACTTAAAATCTTAGGATTAAACGTTTGTGGTTTAAGTAGACGCATAAATTATCCAGAATTTTCAACATTTATCTCTTCCTTTGATATATTGTGTTTTACAGAGACAAAAACTGATGATACTACACCGATTGATCACAATTATTTTTTGTTTGATGCTAAAAATAGGCACGGATTTTCAAACAGACGTTCTGGTGGTATTGTAATTGGATACAAAAAATCTATCAAAGATTATGTAACTATCGTTCACACAGATTGTAAATTTGTTCACTGGTTAAGATTAAAATCTTCTTTAATTAATTCAGATAAAGACTTGATTTTAGGTGTTGTTTATATACCACCAGAAAGTTCTATATATAGTTCAAGGGAAGCTTTTGAAGAAATTGAACTTGAATTTTTGAATTTACAGAGTGAATTTAGCCATATATGCCTAATTGGAGATTTTAATGCAAGAACTTCTGATAGAGATGATTTTATTGAACCAGATGACATATCAAATCAAGAATTTGAGTTAGATGATCCCAGTTTAGACTGTCTCTCAAATGTATTTGAATTACAAAAGATAAATGTACCAAGGAAACGAAAATCATTAGATAAAACAAAGAATAATTTTGGAAACAATTTATTAAATTTTTGTAAAAATAACAATATGTATTTATTGAATGGAAGATTAGAAGAGGGTAAATTTACTACAACAAAATCAAGTGTGGTCGATTATTGTATATGTAGTGTTGAATTTTTGAAACATGTGCAAAATTTTTCTGTACTAGAATTCAATAGGTTATATTCTGATATCCATATGCCACTACTTTGTGAAATAAGTGTGAACTCATATATCTCAAATGATAACTACCAAACTAAAGAAGAAAGTAAGACAAATAAAAATAATTTTTCATGTCAGAAGATAAAACCATGGGATAATGAAAAAACAGAAGAATTTTGTCAAAATATTGATTTAAATGTTCTAAGAAAATTAAAATATGACTTGAGCAATATTGATATCAATGATTTAAATAAAAATCAGGTTAATGAAATCTTTTCAGACACTGTAGGTCTACTGCTTGACTCGGCACGCACAACTTTTGGAATATTTAATGCTCGCCAAACTCACAATAAACTACCACAGAAAAGAAAAGAATGGTTTGATAAAGAATGCAAAATAGCACAAAAAAAATATAGGAAATCAAAACGAATGTTTAGGAAATATCGTTCAAGCATCTTAAAAGAAGAAGTACGTATCAATGAACGTAAATATAAAAATACTATGGATAAAAGTATGAAAAAACATAGAAATTTAATTATGAAAAAAATTAGAAAACTGAGAAGTAACGATCCAAAAAGTTATTGGAAAATAATTAATAAAAGGCCGAACAACAAAAAATGTGATATTAATATTGATGAATTTTACAATTACTTTAAAAACGTCAATAATGGTGATGTAAATAATGACGAACCACTATCAAATGAGATTAGAAATACATATACTAATGAAGAACTAGACTCAGTGATAACTGAAGATGAGATAAAACACGCAATTGAAAATATTAAAAATAACAAAAGTTCTGGAAGTGATGAAATTTATAATGAATACATAAAATCCTCTGCTAGTATTATGTTACCGGTATATGTTATGTTATTTAATATTGTTTTTAACTCAGCAATTTTACCTGAAGCTTGGATTGTTGGTGATATATTGCCTATTTATAAAAATAAGGGGAACGACAATGACCCTGAAAACTATAGACCTATAACTTTATTAAGTTGCATGGGTAAATTATTCACATCCATCTTAGCTAAACGATTAAATAATTATGCTGAGCAATATGATATACTAAATGAAAATCAAGGGGGTTTCAGATCAAATTATTCTACAATAGATAACATTTTTACTTTACAATCGCTAATCGAATTATCCTTTTTATTGAAAAAGAAACTATATTGTGCATTTATAGATTTTAAGGCTGCTTTTGACAATGTATGGAGAATAGGACTGTGGCAAAAACTCATTCAAAATAATATTACCGGAAAATGTTTTGAAGTTATAGTGAAAATGTACTCTGAGAGTAAATCCAGAATAGCTGTTAATGATATGGTTACTGAATATTTTCCATGCAAAATAGGGGTACGACAAGGGGAAAACTTATCGCCCTTTTTATTTGCTTTATTTCTGAATGATGTAGAATCTTTTTTAATTGCACATAACAATATTGGTATCTCAACAATATCAAATGAGATTGAAAAAGAACTTGGTGTCTTGTTAAAAATGCTGATTATTTTGTATGCAGATGATACAGTTTTACTATCGGAATCAACCGAAGATTTACAGAATCAGTTGCACAGTTTTTTTATTGTATTGTGAAAAATGGAAGCTAGAAGTTAATATAGAAAAAACAAAAATAATGATTTTTTCAAAGGGACGTATACCGCATAAAGTTTTTTATTACAATAACAAAGAAATTGAAATTGTTAAACATTTCAAATATCTAGGAATTATATTCTCAACAACAGGCTCATTTATTAAGACAAAACAATATGCTACTGAAAGAGCAACGAAAGCTATGTATGGTATTTTAAAAAAGGGTAACCAATTACATCTTTCTCTTTATGACCAATTGTATTTGTTCGACAAGATTGTAATTCCAATTTTATTGTATGGTTGTGAAGTGTGGGGTTATGGTAATGTTGAAATGATAGAAAGAGTACATTTAAAATTTTGTAAAATGCTCTTTCATTTAAAACCAAGTACTCCAAATTTTATGATCTATGGTGAATTAGGTAGAGTACCTTTAAGTATACATATCAAAACAAGAATTATTGCATACTGGTCAAAAATTTTATATGGAAAACAATCAAAATATTGTTGTTTAATGTATAAATTACTTCGTGCAAAATTTGATAATGGACATGAATCTAAATGGTTAAAGAATTTGAAATCAATTTTAGACAATTGTGGATATAGTAATATTTGGAACCAGAATCAATTATTTAATAGAAATTGGCTTATTAAAAGTTTGAAGCAAAAATTATTAGATCAGTTTCAACAAAATTGGAATTCAACCTGTAAAGATTCTTCAAAAGGTGTGACATATAATCTATTTACAAATTTACACTTTGGATGTCAATTTTATGTAGATAGCAGGTTAAATAATTATAAGAAACAAATTTTAGCTAGATTTAGAACAGCAAACCATAAATTACCCATTGAAACAGGAAGATGGGAAGGTATTGAAAGAATTAATAGAATTTGTCTTTTATGCAAAAATGATCTTGGTGATGAATTCCACTATATTTTATGTTGTGAAAAATTAAAAGATGAAAGAAAATTGTACATTCCGAAATATTATTTTACAAGACCAAATATTATCAAATTTAATGAATTGTTTTCTTCAAAAAATGTTGGACTATTGAGTAAACTCTGTTCTTTTATTAAAATTTTAAACGAGAGAGTCAAACCTCCAGGTTAACATCAATGTAAACATATATGGAAATACTTGATTATAAACACACTTTGTATATATGTTATATGTTATGCTCACGCATGTATGTATATATGTTATATTAATATGTATTGATCTCTGTGTTGTTAAATAACAACCAAAGAGATGTTAATAAACTGGTAAACTGGTTAAAAGATTCACAAAAAATCAAATTTGAAAATTTGCTTCTTTGAAATTATTATATAGAGAATTTTCTGTATTGTTCAAACAAATTATCTTAATTGGTATTTTTCTTTTTCTGATTTGAATGAATTTTCAGGGGCATTTATATATTACAGAAGGGCAATACAATAAAGTGTTTTGTTCTCCATACAACAATTTAATTTCTTCATTACTATACGCATATAATTGACACGAAAACAAAACTTTTATTTTTAATACTTGCATCCTGATTTGATATTAATAAAAAAAAGAAACAACAATAACGTTTACAAAAGATGAGTCTATTTTGATATGAAAACAAACAGAGATTTCCGTTTTTTAACCTTTTTAAGTATCAAAAAATGTAACTGATGTCATTTTCCTTCCAGGTATCAATTAAGAAAATTCCTAAATGCTAAACAGAAAGATTGATGGGTTTTTCTTACTTCCTTTCAGTGGCAGTTCTCTAATTCAAGTAAATCATTTCTTAAATCAAATGTTTCACTTCATGATCAGGAAACCAAACTCATAATTAATGCATATTGGTTTATGTATAGTAGATAATATATTACTCATATATCTAAAACAAAGTAACATTTTATTTCGTGACTACTTTTTAAATGAACATATGGGACTAGTTTTTAAGAAAGACTTGACATGGAATATATTCAGAATTGTAAAAATGAGTGCAGTATTGACTGTCATTTACAGTCAAAAATTAAAATTATGAAATTTTGTCCGAAATGTAATGATGGAAAGGAGGGTCAATGCCCTTCTTCCAAAAAATGTTTCAATTTTTGAAACATATCTGTCCAAATTAAATGTGTTTAATTTCGACAATGCATTCTTAATAACCCTCAAAATATAATTTAAAAAGTCACAAAAGGCAATCTCCATGAAGAAACATTATATAGTAAAAGTAATCATATAGTAAGTTTAGAAAGTATCCAGTTATGTGTAAACAATTAATTCTTTATAAAACACATTAACCTTATTTTTCTATGGAGCATGTAACCTTGGAATGTTCATATAACAAATGGTTCTACCAGCAGTACATTACGTCGCATACTTACTCTTTATGTTCATGCTTGTGGTCTTTATCATCCAAGTCTAGTTTGAAATCGTCCACTGTTCTTTTCCCCGTAACATTGTTGTCATTTGATTCTAATCTGAAACCGGACTTTGATTTTCTCTTCTCTTCTTTGTTATCCTTTAAATTCAGTCTGAAATCCTCAGTTCCTTCCAATGTTTTGGTTGCCCTGTCATTGATCTTCACTTCGAATCTAGTCACTGTGCCTCCATTTATCTCTTCTGTGCCTTTCAGTTTCAGTTCAAAGTTTGCCATTAGGCCCCCTTTACTTGTTCTTCCATCAGATTCTACACTCCCTAGTCTACTCCGTCTGGTGTCCGAGATCCACCCTTCTGCATGGTACAAAGTCAGCAAAAGGACCAACAAACATCTGTTCATTTTCTGTCCATAAACCTACTACGCCTAACACCTAAATTTTAATTAAAAGTAAAATGTTTTGTCCCGGACGTTGAATAAATTTAAGAAGCCTTATTGCTTCACGAGACCAAACCTGTCATCAATCACATGTCAAAAAGAAGAAACTTACTATCACAAACCATTACTTACCTTTAATTGTGAAATTAACATCTGACCTGCACCACTGGAGAGATAAAAGCCACAGGAAATCTGAGAACTCATGTTGTAACATCGTCCAAAACATGGCTAGTGGTTCTTACAACAAACAGGTTAACAAGTGTTTTCGATTCTGTATAGAAAATCGCAAAGCTGATATTTTTTTTCAAGGACAATTAAATTCCTGTATTTAACATTTTATTTGTGTCACTCGTTCGTTCATTATTATTATTGCATCGACGTAATAGTGTCATTAAATTTGATGAAGCCATTTAAAACGTTAATGATATTACCAAAACCTGACCATTTAACAAACTAATGATCATAAAATATCTTCAGACAATTTTAATTTTATTACTTTCCAGTGACTAAAATTTAATTTTTTTTAAATAACCGTCAGCAACCTATTGACCATATTTAAATTTTGATTTAGGCTATCATACTAAAAATTTCAGCAGGTTTAACAGCTACAAAGGTTTGGAGCATTAAATTGTTATTGCCTTTCGTTCAACTATTCATCCTCCTAATAAGAATTATCATGTTTTCCTCATTAGGGTCTTCCGCTTCCTTCGGAAGACCCTACTGTTATTCTTTTGTTTCTTATTATTCTTTTTTTCCCGCTCGATTTTTGACAGGCGATTTCTCAAAGACCTTTGGACTGATCGTTATGAAACTTTCAGGATAGATAGCTTGTAGTTAAACCTATTTAAACCTGTTTTCAGTTTTTTGATGCATGCCTTTATTTGTGAGTTATTGCCCTTTAATTGAAAATTTTTGATGTCTCGTTTCCACTGAAAATCTCAAAAATGACATAAGATATTTACACGAAAGTTGGAGAACTTGTAGCCAATACATTGTAGATGTGCTCAACGATAAAATTATATAGCTGATTTCTTAAAGTTTGGAAGCTATAAAACGGCAAATTTTAGATATTTTTTTTTCTTTGAATTTTTGCTACTTTTTGTGTAATAACTTTTAAACCGAGAATAATTTGGTAAGAAATATATTACAAAAGTTGTGGGTAATTACGAGAGCTTTCATATTTGATTAACGAAAAGGGGCTGGCCCCTATAATTAGGGGTTAATAGCTCATACACGCTTTTTTCTGATAGCTAAAAATATTGGTATATTATGAAAAAGTTTGACTGAAATAATTTCGAACTTATAAAATCTTGTCATTTGATATAAAAAGAAATAAACTTCCAGCTATATTTAATTGTTTTTTATATAAAACAAGTACATGTATGTGAGAAACCTTTCAGGAACAAGTTGTCTACTATAGCCAGCCAAGCCTTTACTGCATACATGTGCACATTTTTAGTTGATGCATCTAAAAGATATAGTTTTGATTCGGTGTTTCTTTGTTTTCTTTTTATTCAAATAATTTTAAAATGTGATGATGTACACAACAATAATTAGTACCTAGTTTAGAGGATTTTTTCGCGCTTGTTTGTAAACAACGCGCAGCATTGTGGGAAATAGGAAGGTACTAAAGACGCGATGTACTAAACACTGATTTGACCTGATTCAAATTTGTCTGTAAATGTTCCAAACAATTGAATTTTTGTATAGCATATGCCTCGAAGTCATAAAGTCTGTACATAAGTAATTTAAAATACAATATTACCATTTAATTAAAAATGAAAACCTCAGGTAAATATCCGGTCTCTAGTATATCCCGTTTTTAGTGTGCCCCTTCGAGTCGACGTCGGACACATGTTTGCCATGGTTTACAAACTGAAAATAGAATGATTTGTGAAGTTGAACATTTTCTCACAAAGAATCCGTTTGTAGACATGCACACTCATTTAATCTGCAGCTACGAAGTACTTTGTCACTTCTCTGGAACATTATTCTAAGCAGAATTATCCCGATTCATATATTCTAAGAATCTTGTGTGAATTGTTTACGAGGAAATTCTGACTGTCACATTAACAAGGATGAACACTCTTGACTCTGCTTCGGATTCCCCAGTGATAATTGTATCGAGTGATGAAAGAGCTGACGGCGACATTTTAATGTAGGATTGGCTTGGACCATTGGAATGAAGGTTAGAATATTTTTATTACTTAAAATTTACACTACTGATTACATGACAGTGACATACATTGATGTTATTAGAAATACACAGACACACCGATATATTATCTGTTTTACAGTTCAGACGCTCTCTGTTTGCCTTGTAAATCCCCACAGCTTTATATTTTATTTTTTTTTAATTTGAGGATGTAATTTCAACAGTCCTGCTATCTATCATAGTGATCATACTGTATAATTCAAACTGCACTTAATGTTACAGGATATATTCAACTAATTATATATTGACAGTGTGACTGTAAGGGTGAGGGCAGATACTTATTTAGTTTTAATTTAGATTGTGCTTGTCAAGCCGCATTTGACATTTGGTGCATCCATGCTCAGTGTTCACACTGAGAGTTTATTCAAATGTTTAATTCGAATGAATTCACTGGTCGTTAAATTACTTCCCATTAGCTCCATGTGAACATGAGTAAGGATATCTAATTCAAATTAAATAGAAATGAATTTTGAATGTAGCTTAAACATGTTAAAGAAGCTAAGCACTGTGGGTCCAAAGTATACTGCGGAAAAATTGAGTGGAGCAATGTGCAAGTCACAATCTTCTTTTGCCAAGGTGTTATCATAAGAGCTCGCATTATGGGCAGGGATTTGTGCTGCTGTCTGGACTCGCTATAAATAGATGTTCTCAAAAAGTCTTAATTATTTAATATCATACTTTACTGACAAAAAAGGACAAATATTGCTCAGTTAAATTGCAAAAGAAATTTGTTTAAAAAAATTGTAATAATAGAAAGTTTGCTTTTTTGATTGATAAGACTGCTGTAATGGTTTAATGTTTGTTTATTTGCCTTAATCATACATTTTTCAGTCATTTCATGGTGCCACCACTTGGGATGGTATTAGCTGCAAATATAGACTTGTACTCAGCACTTGTTGCCTTTAAGAAGTATGAGATCCATTTTGTGCTAACACCTACCGTGACACAGAATCTTGGTTTATGCAGTCTCATAGGAGTAACCTGTCTAAAGCATTTAGCAATGGGATTGGAACCTGCGACGTAAGGTTCAGCTTCTTATTGATACTTTGATTTATAATATTTTTTATTTGAGAATTTCACTCATTCACATACTTAGAGATGTTGATATATATTGTTGAATAGCATCAATTTAGACCTTTACTTAGCTAAGTAAACATGTACTGTGAGGTTTTTAAGGTCTCATTCATTTTATATGCCAGATGCATGTTAAGGAACATTACTGCATAAATGTTTTTGTCTTAAATTTGAAGCTCTTTACTAATATAGAGATATGTTAGTGTTAAACCTCTTCAAATTAGGGTAGACCTTTACTTTAAACTCAGCAATGTGAGTGTGTTGTGTGAACTTGTGTTAGCGAGACAGTGCGTTGTATGAATTTGTGTTAGCAAGGCAGTGTGTTTTGTGAACTTAATTGTGTTAGCCTGACAGTGGGTTGTGTGAATTCTTGTTAGCTTGACGATGTGTTGCATAAACTCGTGTTAGCGGGACAGCGTGTTGTGTGAAATTGTGTATAAAGTGTAAGTGTGACAGTTTGTTGTGTAAACTCGTGTTAGCTAGACAGAGTGTTGATTGAACTCGACTAGCGAGACTTCGTGTTGTGTAAACTCGTGTTAGTGAGACTGCGTGTTGTGTAAACTCGTGTTAGCAAGACTGCGTGTTGTGTAAACTCATGTTAGCGAGACAGCGTGTTGTGTGAACTCTTATTAACGAGACAGCATGTTGTGTGAATTCGTGATAGCGTGACAGTGTGTTGTGTGAACTTGTTATCCTGAAAATTTGTCGTGTGAACTGGTGTTAGAGAGATAGTGTGTTGTGTGAACTCGTGTTAGCAAGATTGCATATTGTGTGAACTCTTGTTAGCCAGACTGCGTGTTATGTGAACTCGTGTTAGCGATATTGCATGTTTTTTGAATTTGTGTTAGTGTGACAGTGTGTTGTGTGAACTCGTGTTAGCCTGACAGTGTGTTGTGTGAAATGGTATTAGGATGACAGTGTGTTGTGTGAAATGGTATTAGGATGACAGTGTGTTATCGCAACAGCGTTTGGTGCGAACTTGTGTTAGTGAATAGTGAGACAGCCTGTTTTGAGAATTCGTGTAAGCGTGACAGTGTGTTGTGTGAACTGACGTGTTAGCCTGACAGTGTGTTGTGTGAAATGGTATTAGAATGACAATGTGTTGTGTGAAATGGTATTAGGATGACAGTATGATATCGCAACAGCATTTGGTGCGAACTTGTGTTAGTGAATAGTGAGACAGCCTGTTTTGTGACTTTGTGTTAGCGTGACAGTGTATTGTGTAAACTCGTGTTAGCGTGACAATGTATTGTGTAAACTCGTGTTAGTGAGACTGCGTGTTGTGTAAACTCATGTTAGCGTGACAGTGTGTTGTGTGAATTCATCTAAGGGTGACAGTGTGTTGCTTGTACTTGTGTTAGCTAGACAGTGTGTTGTATGAACTCGTATTAGCGAGACTTTTATTAGTAAAAGAATTATAAATTAAAAAATTTCAATTTCTTTTGGATAGGTGTGACTCATCTGAATACTGAATTTTGATACCAAGCATGACCATGATTTGCCAGAAGATCATCTGTTTGGATGTGACATGGAATAAACAGCATAGTGAAAATAAGTCAAGTTTTGGTTTGTGAAGACAATTTTTAAACACACTGTGTATCATTTTTAAATTTTGATTTGACAACATAAATCCACAAATATGAACATATCAATTGCTCTCAGTTTTTCAAGTGAAATA